TTGCGTAAACTAGTGGCTATCTCATTTCGAGAAATGGGTGCTGAAAATTCTTCTCTTCGCTGGCTGGAAATTCCAGATGTTTTGTGCAGTTCCCCAGTTTACGACCGGGGATGAACAAAATATCTTCCTATTCAACTATTGGTGTATTTTAGAGTTCAGTATAACGGTAAATTAATGACGGATGTTTTTCGGTAAATTGCAATATATGGAAAAGTAATGTACTACGGGATCGCACAGACCCTGCACTAAGGAGTTTTCTAAATCTCATTAGTAGAGACTGATAATTATGCAAAATACGTAATCAATAATTTTTAATCATTAAGTTAGCTAGATATTTAAAACGAATCTCAACAAATTACATTTTTGTGGTTCCAATACGGAATGTCTTTTTTGTTTTTTATTGCTTTTTGGGGATAAATGTCTGTTGTTGCCTAAATTCGTTCTTGTGCATCCCTTGGTCATTAAAAAATAATTTATTTTAAAAGTAAACTGTCTCATAAGCGGTGAAGAACGAAATATTTTCTCATTCTTTAAGTAAAAAAGCACAGTTTCTTGACTCATTTCTTCCCATTAAAATTCCCATAACACCAGCCCATCAACCCGCCGCGATACCGATGAACATAAGTGACAAAGTATTTCTTTGCCAGCGATATCGGTCAATTTGTTTTACTTTCGAGCACGCTGTCAAAATCCAGTGGGGAACTATTTACGTTGTTCGTTATCTTTTCAAAACCAATATCATAATGAAGACAAGCTTGAAAATCCAACATTAAGGCATAGTACACTAAAGAATGTCACATGTGGATCAACTTGTGCAAATGTTAGCTCAGAGTTACGAAGCAGTGATAAGAAAAACTCAAGAAGAAACTAAAAATATACGGATTTCTATTGACAATTGATGCCACCGGTTATTTTCTAACAGTTAATGTCATACGTGGTCCAGTAGACTTCTTTTTAAAAAACTATTCATTAAAGTACTTTCTGCCGGCCTGGAAGCGAGGCCGCTAAGGCTGAAGGGCTGTAGCTGCCTCCGCTCGAAGGGTCGCGGGTTCGAATACCGCCTCAGGCATGGATAAATGTGTGTTTGTGTTGTCCTTGCGTGTTCTTCCTACATCTTCCCCTAGAGTTAAAACAATCGCAGTGGTCTCCATATGACCAAGTCAAAAAGTGACGTGAAAAATACTTTTGCTTATCATTGAATAGTTATAAAAATTCAATAGCTCAACTATTGCTCAGTTATTCGTAAATTCTTTGTAGTTAATAACGTCCCATGAAATTACACACGAAAATGTAGTTTTTAAAAACACTGGCACAGCACCACATTCGAAAATAACAGCAAAACTTCGAATGAGTTGTTCCCGACTATTATCCACGTGACTTGCGCAGCTCATGCATTTCACAGAAGGGTTGAAAAGTGAGATGTTAATTTCCGGATGTGAACAAATTAAATGCAAATATTGATAAGATATTTGGAAATGTCTTTCATAATTCAGATCTGCTCCTGCATTCTCAAGCTGTCTGGAGTTGGGAACGTGTATTTTGGTAGCAGTTTAACCCTCAATTTATACGCGCTGTGATCTACACAATTTATACGCGTATCATGATACTCGCTGTGATCAACTCTCTTTAGGAAGAAGCATCATATTATTAGCAAATAATCTTAATTTGTTAGAAATAAAAATGACCTAATCTTTCTTATGGTCGAATTGGTTTTTTGCCAAATAATTACTTGCATTCGAGACAGAATGCTGCGTCTATTGAAATTATTGAAATTTGGGGATCACGCCGCACATAAATACCAAGGAAAAAAGTGAAGACCAGAGGTAACAGAGTGTTTTACCAAAACCGTGATTTACAAAAACTCTTATAAATATTTCGAAAATTTTGAATGGGGTGGCATTACAGCAGAAATGAATAAGGAAAGGGCAAATTTCGCGCGTTTTGTAGATGCCTCGTCCGGTATTCGCCGGGAAAATATATGGGAAACCAGCAGAAAGAAGCTTGAAGATGGAGAAGAAACCTGTCGTTTGCGCCCTTGGATCGGCGCAGGGTCGAATGCCGACCTCTGCGATGGGTCCCTCTCCGGGACAATGAAGTTGACGTCAGCCCACCTCAGTGACTTGCAGAGCTGCATTCGAAACACAGTGGTTTCGGAATGAACGACTGTGAAAGTATCGAGTCCGTTCATTTTGCTCGAAGGAAGTAAGGTAGTTTACACCATGAGTTTTCTCTCGCTCTCAAATCTGTACAATCATCGAATATCAATGAATCACGTAATATCAGAAATATACACAAACTTGGAAAATCTATTTCACAAGCTGAATTATGGACAATTAATACCTTCAAGAATAAGGCACTTAAGAGCAGTATTTTTGAAATGTAACCTCTTTTCTTGCCTCAGAGGAAGTCACAAGAAAAAGAGTTGCAAGATGAGTCATAGGATCGCAAGTCGCAAATTGAGTCATAGGAGCGTAATGAAAAGTGCAACTCTTTATTTTCTAGCTAAACTTCGCACCAGATACAAAAAAAGGTTCACAATTTATCAAATTTGTTTTGATAAGATATATTCAGTGGTGAAAATCGTAACTCAGTGCTTTGTAAGGAGTCGAGAACTTCTATGCCTGTATATATGAGAACACCTGTGAGTCGGCTACAGTCATCAAGAAGCGCCACCGATATGGTTTTATTTTTTCTGCTACTGATGAATAATGCTGAACAAATTAACCGAGCTCTAAAGGGAATATCGTGACGTAAACAGTTATTCCCCCTATATAAATATTATCTTCCCCTACACATTTCCTATTCCTGTATCTTTGAAGATTCACTTTGACGCACTTTTTTGTAATACTTGGAGGATGGTCTTGTTTTCCGGAGAGGCGTCGCCATTATAAAGAAAACTGGTTTCTCGGGCCGCGGAGTTCTTCCCCGCCTCCGCGCGGCCGAGGGGTTCCCCGCGCGCCAACCACCTGCGCCAGGGGAATCCCAACCCGCCGCATCTGGGAGACCGTTACTGCCACTCGCGCTCTCGCAATTCGGCCTCGCGGAGGCGCAGGCTTTCCTCGCTCGCCGATCTTCACTTTCCTCCTTACGGGCTCCATCCACTCTCAAGCGAGGCTTGCAGGCCTGGCCTGGGACGGTTGTAACTAGGCCGTTTGTGCGGACAGTACTATCCTTTTTCTGCGCATGCGCAGATGCGCTTAAGTGATGAGAAACGTGAACTGCGCATGCGCAGAAGGTTGATAGTGCTTTAACGTTCGAGGTGCACAAACTCCTTTAAGTGTCGCCGCCCCATTGTTTCTGCCAGTTGTTTGACTCTACGAGTACTGCTGTGGTGTTTGGTTTATAACCGGCGTCAGTTGAGAGAAAGGGGTTCTTGCGGGTGGCTATACACGATCAAGTGCGGCTGGACCAGGCTCTCTCCATCTGATTGTGGATCTGTTGCCGTTGCTACCTGCTTCTTTGATCGCACATGGGGCAGGTAGTAGCTACGACCTGTTTCCAATCGGCGCGAGGCAGGCTTGACATGCGGCGCTTGCTCTTAGTATCCAACTTACAAGACACGTATGCTGGCTGGCGTACGTAACAGTTTTGCTCGCTTGTGTTCGCCAGTTTGCGTTCATCACATCCCGAAGGCCCCATCGACGCCCAGTTTGCTCGTCTTCTTTTCTTGAGATCATCAGCTCAGTGGCTGTCTGATTGTGCTTTCTCCGCCATCTGATCCATACTTCGCTCACCTTTTATCCGACGGGAACCAATCGTGTGAGTTCTACTCGCCGGATTGTTGCTCAGACACTTTTATCTTTTTTATTTATTTACATCAAAAACAGTTAAAAACTATGTATGACGTTCTATAGGGACATGTTAATTTGAAGTTATATTTACTCGTATTTGCCCTAATAGGCAAGAAGACAACGGTAAAACAGGTATTGTAAGCATGTGGGAGTTATTGCTCTCTTTCTCTCTCAGTTGACGTCCTCGGAAACATCAATCAATTAAACGAGGTCTAGTTTAATATCTGGTCCTATCTGCTCTCTAATTTCAACACTGCTGCCGCCACGGTGCAAAGAAAAGGTGTAAAATAATAGTGATACTTCAACGTAAATGGAATGAGAAAATTAGGATATTTGGTTTTAACAGTAATACAAAATTGCTCCATGAAATTAATAAGAGATCACTGGAAGGTTTCTTAAAGAAGCCAGAACATAGGAGGATACTATGGCAGACTTCAGTCTTTCTGTGTATAGGCTGGGCGGGAAAACAACTTAAAACCGGTTCATCAAGATATTTTGCTTGTTCTGTTTTCCCTATAATTTTCACTGCATAGTATTTCGGGCATATATTTTTGAATGGAGGATGTAACTACTCTAGATGTTCGGATAATTTCTTCTCCTAGTCAATGTCACATGGGCTAGCTATTATTCATTCTTCTGCACAGCTACTACAGTGCGACCACTAAATAGGTAAATAGAAATTAGATCGTCCTCACCTCAAGATAAAATATCAGAATTAAAGATAAACAACAGAAAAAATTGATTCTACTTCTTGCTTGATGCTTTCGTGTGTTGATGGTCATGTACTTTTTCTTCGCTGTAAAGACTTTACCTTCCACTTCAAGAAGTGGCTCATTCCGCACAAAGCGCAAATTATCAATAACATAAATTACAATTAACGTGACTCGAACATGAACTCAGTGGGTATGTCAATCAAATATTTAAAATTAAAATTTGTTTTTCACGAGCGTACAAAAATGAGGAGTTTTTAAGAATAGAAATGAAAGATATGAGGATCCGTAATAAAAGAAATTTTATACGATATCAGAGAAAATTATTTTCCTGGGTGAAAAGACAATTTTTTGCACATTCGCAATTGTTGTTTTTTTTTGATGACCTGTCTGTCTTGACAAAAAAATCCCTCCATGTCGATCGTTCAAGAAACAATCACTATATGAACGTAATATACCGACAACTAATTTCAGCGTGCCTGTTTGTGTGTGTGGACAGGAGAACATCATCGTGCTGAACCGCGCGCGGTGCGGCTTCCAAGGCAGCGTGCCGGTGGTGTGCTGCGCGGGGAGCCAGAGCACCGCCAGGCCGCCCACTCCGCGGCCCGGGGGCGGGGGCGGAGGCGGGGGCGGCTCGTCCCCCGTCTCGGACGACGTGGACAGCGTGGCGCGCGACGTGAGCAACCACCCCAACCTGCGGATGCTGCCGCAGGAGGTATGCGGGCCCGTCGGCACCGACCGCATCACTGGAGGCACCGTCGCCGACATCTACGCCTACCCGTGGATCGCCCGCCTGGGCTACAAGTCCAGGTCAGTGCTCTCCAAGGCTGCGTGAAAAGAACATCTTGGATAAATATTTAGCCGCATGCAAGTGATGCAGTGTCAGATTAAGCCATGGGTTGTCGTGATCAAGGCCAGCGGGATTAGTCAGCCAAAGCCTTCTCTAGAAACAATTCGATCACGACAATGAAATGATATTACCCAGAATTCCAGATTAATTTTCACTATACCACTGGCGGGGTATGTAATGTTTGGCAAAAAACACACTTAACGGAGAATTAAAATGTTGGTGTTTTCAGAAGCTTTGACTCAGCAGTGATCGTTGGGTGGTTCTTGATTTCCTCGCCAGAACTTGAAATATTCCTTCTTCACTGTTTTAAAGAAATGTGTATTAATACATATAATGCTTACTACAATATTAAAAGTAATCTTACGTCTGTTCGATATTTGGTTACATCCAAAATCTCTGTGTCATTTGACCTTAGAATATATTTCTACCATTTAGGCAGTGTGATACAATTGCGTCGTGAGAGACACAACTTAGTAATATGTGCAAACCTGCATAAATGTACTAATGCAAATTGAAACATCATGTAATATTATTTGCAGACAATTTGATCACTTCTTGAAATGTTCAACATCATTTTTGAAGTATAATTAGTAAGCCTTTTCTAATATGTATGTATAGCCGTAAAAATTTTAAAACCCACGTCTCCTACGATGAGGGGCACACTATCCTAACTATGCTAGATGAGATACTGCCTCCAAACAAGCTAAGCAAAATAATTTCACTTTTTATTTTAAAAATTATTATTTGTGGCAAGAACTCACCTTACTGCCAGTTAAATACAATTTCTTTCTGTTTCTTCTAGCCTTGAAATGAGAAACTCTATAAAATCTTGGAATTAAGATTTTATTTCTTTCATTCCAGCACACGACCCAACAACCCGGTGTCATACCGCTGTGGTGGTTCTTTGATCAGCTCTCGTTACGTGCTGACTGCGGCGCACTGCGTGGTGATGCGTAAAGAATCACCCCTCCGACTCACCACCGTCAAGTTGGGCGAACACACAACTGACACGCCCGTGGACTGCAAGTAAGTAATTGCAACCTGGATTGCTAAATGCGAAAAGCTGATTCACTCCCTCTTTCGCGTGGGAATGGGTGACAGCAGCGAGAAGGTACTGTCCTCGCGATTTCATACCCTTAATCAATCTTGGAAGTTTCTTTTCAACTATCTTCCGCAAATTCTCACTCATTATATCTAGAGAAAAATTCTTTATTTAATGGTCCCTTCCTGAAATTACCTTGCTAATGGTTATTGTTATTTTATCATTTATCATTTATTCTAGTAGTTATCATTTATTCTTTAAATATTGTATGTAAAGTTAAAACTTCGTACAAACTGAAACCTTTGAAAGACCTTACGGTCGAACAAAGAGGAATAAAACAAAACGCTCTTGACTGTCCAGCCCATTTTCCGTCAACCTAACATTAGATGACCGTCAGGTTGATGGACCATAAAAGGGTATCCTCTTTGACACGAAGCGTTCTTTAATAAGACTGTATCATAGGGGTCTCTCCAGAATTAGGACTAAAATGCTTTTCTGGCCGAGAATATTTAATTATATCTCATGGCTCAAAATACGAAATCCTGAGACGCGAATATACTCTAAACATGAACTATTGTCGGCTGACAATCGTGTGCAAATTGAATGCCTTGCATTTTCGGGGGGGCTTGAGAAAGTCTCGTAATCCACTTTGCGCTACTGATTCAGAAATCGCATATCCGATAGAGTCCGAGGATTCGTGCGTCACCTAGGTAGAGTAATTTGTTAACTTAGCTGAGACAAAACAATTGAATTTAGTAAGTAAAACGTTTGAAATGTGTATAGGGCCCCGATCTAATGTTTAAATCCACTTCGTCTGATGTCAAACTTTATCAAAGGTCAGTTTTGTACTAAGAGTCATTCGAACATCTATTTTAATAATCCATGACTGAGTGGGTATTAACATCAATGATCAATTTCGTAATGAATAGGAAAATTGCTGTTTCCTATTATCTATATCAATAACAGTATGTTAACTTCCGTAGGTTATATAGTTAAATTTATACGAAAATTTTAATATCTAGATTGCAATTTTAAGAAATTGTATAAAACGTAGTATTCATATAGTAAAACCGTTTTGCACTACTGAATCGGTTGTCAACCTGGGCGTAACAGCGTCTTATGATAATTGGGTAATCTCGTATGGTAATGGATATCTAACGATATCGTCAATACGGACTTTGTGCACGGTATAGTTTATGGAATAATGAATGAAAAATAAATATTTAGTTGTACTTTTGGATAAAATACTAACCTGGAAACCACACATGTTGGCAACAATAAATAGTACATATGGAAAAATTGCACTGGAGGCGCAAGGTGGAAAGAGATGTGTGGGCTCCTTCATCAGAGTCTTTCCACCTTGCAGAAAAATGATGGGAATGTCGAACATGGCCAGCGCTGAAGATGGATTGTCGTAACGCCCGTCTAACCGCGGTGCGGCGCGTGTGTTTCTGTTGCAGGGAGAGCGGGTCGTGCCTGCCGCCGCCGGTGGACGTGGAGGTGGAGCAGATCGTGGTGCACCCGGGCTACGACGCCGCGCGCCAGCCGCCCACCATGCACCACGACCTGGCTCTGCTCCGCCTGGCGCGGCCCGTCGACTTCGCGCGCGAGGAGTTCGTGCGGCCCGTGTGCCTGCCCGTGGGCGCCGACAACCAGCGCATGCGCCTCGACGGCGAGGCGCTCGTCGTGGCCGGCTGGGGCACCACGGAGACCGGCGAGGGCAGCAAGGCGCTGCTCAACGTCTTCGTGCCCGCCGTGCCCATCGACAGGTGCAGGGACGCCTACAGGAAGGTGAGCCTCCTATTTTTGCTCAGGCATTCCTTCGAATTCCTCCACTACCTACCAGTTACACTCCAGCAGTCGTACTTTCTGATAGTCTTACGACCTTCAATCTTCACTCAACCTCTCTTCAACCTTCGAGTGATCTTCGTGCAATTACCTTCCTTTCTAATCACTCCACTGCAATTGTTCTCTCTTATACGTACATGGAGTTGTTTTGCTCATCACATGATTTTCTCATTCGATGTTATCTCCCTAATTTTTTGGTTCCTCATCCTTTTAATTTCGCCAAAACGACATATATTTTGAATCCGCAATTCATGATCGCGTTACGTCTAATATCGAAACCTGTTTCTCTCCTTTTGCTTTATCCTTTGGTTCCCTCTTCCTATTTATGCCAAGTTTTCTTACCTACGGCGCAAATTAATTACCTTCAGTGCTTTATTGATCTACCTCCTAATATACTTTTTCCATTTAAAATTCTCTTTTTGCCTGAGTCTTTTAAAGAAAAATCATCTCTTAATCCTCTATTCAGTTTTCTTTTCTTGTACTACAGTTCATCGTTCCATTCCATGTTGTATTTCTCTGTCAGAGTCAACATTTTATTTATGAAGGGGATTCTTCCGACTGAACGTCATTTTTTGTACTTTTACCACAACTTCTCTTCAATCCTGCCGGGTCATCATTTACTTATACACAACATGTTTGGTTTTGATTTTTCCACTTTTTCTAGTTCTTTAATTCAGTCCGTCCATACGTCGTCGTTCCATGCACATCCATCTATTAAGTGGTGGTCTTTACTCACCTGGGTTCTTTTCTGGCTTTTGTTTCCTTTTTTGGCTTTCGGGTGCTTCCTATTAACACTAATATGTTTTATGTTCTTATATTCCTTCTTTCGACTTTTCTTCCTGATGCTACATTGTGTTATCCCTCGTTTTTCACATCGTGACTTCTTAATTCTGAGAAAAATTCTAAACATATTATCTTCCTTGTAACAAAAATGTACTTCTATTAAATCAGCCAATTATAATGTTTCTATCTTTAAAAGTCTTTTCGTATATTTCCTTGTACTTCCTACCTCTTTTCTTAACACATGTTCATAGACTAATAACTTTTCTGGAGCGAAATCTTAACTTTCTCTCTACGTTTTCCAAAGCTCGTAAAAGAATAGATGAAGGGACTTGGAGCAGGAAAGTTTCCTACACAAACTGGGTTGAACTGGCAACGGTCCAAGTAGCAGCCATCATAACCATAATAAGCTGGAGGAAACCGTTTAGCGTCTCACGTTAATCACATGTATAAGTAGCCCTCAACTCGTAACATTATAATCTCAAAATATTTTTGTAGGTTTTAATCCATTTCATTATTTTCGGCTAAAATTATTATAAACACGCACAGTCATGATTTTTCCACGGTGGTTGCAGGTGTAATGCTTAGCTGACTTGATGTTTTCTTATAAAGAATTTGTTTCTTATACTGTATTTTCCTTTGTGGCAATGTAGTTATTTATAACATACTCAAATAAGATATTGAATGACCTTCATTACTACAGAAAATTGGTACACTGCGGATGTATCCTGGGAGCAGGGCTGAAACCTCATGAGCCCCTTTGGGTGCACCACTAAATATGTTTCATTTCTTTCTCGTTATTTACTGTATTCGGATGCTCCTATCTTAAAGTTTGGTAAGAATATTTTGATTCCTGGTGATGGAATGTATATTACGAAAAACCAGATATGTTAAATGATTTCTAAATTTACTTACTGTTGTTATACTTTCTGTTATACTGCAAAGTAGAGAAACAAATGAAAAATGCACCTTAGCGAATGATAATCGAACGACCAAGAAAGTACTAAAATAAAAATAATTTGAGCAAAGAAAAACCTCTGTGTTGTGTCTTACTTTACAATGCGCTTAGAAATTGAAAGAAAAGTATGTTACTTCCAGCCTTGTGAGAGGTGTCTATGATTTTATTCGGCTCCAAGGAACTTGAGAAAAATCATAAAACAGTAAAACACGTACTATTTTGTTTGAAAATGCGAATAATTCAATGTGTTATTCCTCTATTCTCAAACTGCGCTTACCGACCGAATTCTCATCTCAGTGCTTACGTCACAGCTAACGTTATACGTCAGCAAATCACCGTTAGCTGTGTGTAGCACACATATTAGCTTTTCACGTGTTGCGTTATGGACCAGCAACTTTTTTGGTGTTCTGGATATTGCAACCTTCTCGCCCAGGGGTTCCCATATTCCACACCGATTTGTTGTCGCCATTCGGGTGCACCGAGGGGAGCAGTTAGGGCGAGGCACGTAGGCGGAGCGGGGCAGCGCAAATGTCGATCTTTTGCATCGCTTGCGCCCCGGCGAGCGTGTCGCTTCGCTAAGTTGCCTGCACGCGTGAGTTCCGCGCGTACGCCCTAATCCTCTGAGAAACGCACGGTGGTGCGGTAACGTCTCGGAACGGTCCGGACTTCGGATACCGAAAACTTGTCTGCTGAGGAAGTGGTGATACTCGGGTCGAACTACCTAACAGGGCCCAACGAATGATCAAAGATGCGTCTCTTTAATAACGTAGGATATTTGCAATCATATTTAGTGTAGAAATAAACTACAATATTTGCAGTTAAAAATATTAAAATATTTTAAAAAATAAACATAAACTATTGTAGCTTTAATTATTGTTGGAGTCGCTGATCATTAGGGGCTGTAACAACATGCTTAGTTTGTGTTGTATATGAGCGCCAGTTGCTCGTGCTTAGTTTCTTTGTAATTCCGTGGCTATATTGCACTATACTTTGTTTTTGAATAACTATGTTTGTCGGAGTTCAAAGATTCATCTGCGAAAACTCTCTCTCAAATCCACTACATTTCGACGCAGTTGTTGTAAAACCATATCTAAAACGGAATTACGAAGAAACAAAACACGAGCCCCCGGCACTCTTGCTCTAATGCAGGGATGACCAACTTGCAAAGCTTCAAGGGCCACAGCTAAAAACATTAATATGGTTGCGTGCCATAGTTTCATTGCTCGGGCGACCTACATCTGACTTCCCCATATTGTTGATTTAGGCAGATTGTTTGACTGCTCTGAAACGGGGAGAGGGGATGGAACCATGAGTGATATCATGCCGTACGATGCATAACGCACTGAATCACATTGGGATGAGTTTGAATATCGAAATTTACTATAGTAAATTTAAATTAATTTAAATTAGTATAAAAAGTAAATTAAAATAGTAAATTTAAAAATCCTTAAATCTAAAACTAACCTATTTTTACATTAAGGGGCGTTGACCGCCGTAGGGTGCCAGGAGTACAATGTTCTCGCTGGTCATGGTTGCAAGGAACTTCCACGTCTGACTAATATTTCGTGGGCCACAATAAATGGCACCGCGGGCCGCCAGTGGAACAGCCATGGTCTAGTGCGAATACTGTTCCTCAAATGAACTACTGCCTGCTTGCTCAGTGATGTGCCTTTGCTGATGATTCCTGTTTTGCTTGCTAGCTGACGCAGACGACCGCTTTGCGCGCGGGCGAGAAGGGCGCGACTCGTGCACGGGGACAGCGGGGCCCGCTGATGCGCAGGCGCTGGTGGCCGGGAGCCAAGGACGGGTGCAGTTCGGCGTGGTGTCCTTACGGCCCCGCAACTGCGGCAGGAGGCGCCGGGCGTCTACACGCGCGTCGGCCACTACATGCAGTGATGCGCCCCTGAGCCGCCCGGCCCCGTTTCCGTCCAACGCCGCGGGCGCGACGGACGCCGTGCGGTGCCTCCTTGGGCCCCGTTGGACTGGTTTCTCTGAGAGGAAACTCAACGCAGCCTGTTGGCTTGTTTTCATTTTGAGTGATACCTGCCTGTGTACCTGCTTCTTTGCCATTCCTGTGACGTGCAATGAGATCGACGACGTTGGTTTTGCTAGCGACATACTGTTGTATTTTTCAAAAAAAAGTAATGTTCAGCAGTACAGTTTAACTTTTAATGGTTTTAAACAAGTCTTTCTTAGTTTTAAGCATATTTATATAACAATTATTGGAAATCACAATGAAAATTACATAGCAGCCTTAATAAAATTGACTAGGTACTGTTTCGAAAGTTCGTTCACAGTGACATTGCCAATTCTAAGTTTTGTAAGCCAGCAAGAGTACAGATAATGTATAACGCTTACTTTGTTTTGGAGCGGTGACGTACAGAATATCTGTTGCTTATTCATGTTTTTGTATACTATGGTTCTCTAGTTCGCAACATCACAAAGTGATTTCATATAAAACAAAATGCTCTTAGTTTTGTCAAGTGAAAGAACTATGATGTGTTATTCTGGCGGCAAAACTCCAAGGACATTAAGATGCTTAAGGATGCATATTGTTTTGTATTTGCCAATTACGCCTGTGTTATTTTATTTATTTGTTATTATGTGTAAGGAATATTAAATTTGGTTTATATTTTTATTCGCGTGATTTTTTTCTCTTCATAACCCCTACATTTATAATCATGTTAAGTAGATTTTCTTGAGTAATGATTATTAGTGACTTCATTAACTAGTACTTCAGAATGTGAATGGCATTTTATTGAATGTGTTGTTACTTTTGTCTGCGCTTTATGTAAATTGTTTATTCTTCAATTACACCCAGAAATAGTTTATTACGGAAGGGAATAAAAGTGTGAAATATTATTTTCAATATTATTGGAAGTAAACCAAACCCGAGGAAGTGGAATAGTGGTAAATGGTATTAAAGGGATTACAAGTACGTCACCACATATTCTCTTTGGTTTTAATTTGCTACGTAAATTGTGGAAAATTATTTAGACATATAAATAATTACTTCTTTCTACGGCTCTTATTTAGCGAACAGACGGTTACCCTCTACCTCCCGATGGAACGCATATTCGACCATTCACTAGACACCAACACAATAAAGGGCGCCTCTGATCTGGGGTCAGCAGAACTCCAGGCTCAGCGCGACAACACAGACATGACAGACAAGGAACAAACAACCACGTCCAAGGTGGGACTCGAACCCGCGACCGTTCGAACCGAAACGTTGATTCGGTACACGCTCTTAGCCGCCTCGGATATAATTCGTTGAATTGTTAAAATTGAGAAAACGAAGTCCGGGCTGTCGATTCCTGCCCCTCGCGAGTGTGGTCAATGCCACTGGACGCCCGGCCTGCGGGCCTGCGGGCGAGCGAGGGGATTTGCGAGCGGAAACAATCCCTCTGCTTCTGTACGAAGTGTAACGACGTGACTGCGGGTCGGCCAGCGAAACTTTTATCTAGACTTCCTTTACAAAAGTGTATAGCAAACACGTGTAGTCTTAGTACCTTAATTAATAAAAATATATTTTAACAAATTCGGATTCATCAGTCAATGATTAATAACCAATAACGGAAAAATCTGCCGTCATTATTTCATTTTATGAAATTAAGAATGTTATAAAACCTAAATGAGTTGCTTACCTTTATTGATTTAGAAACAGGGTTACATAAGGTACCAACGCAGAAAAAATCGTTCTTCTGGAAGATGCTGTTCTTAATCTTTTACTTGTATGGTATCAACTATCGCAAACTATCAGAGAAAGAATGAACCAATTAATATTTCTTACAATGGCAAAACCTTCAGCCTAGAAGTAGACCATCTTTCCTGGACCCGGTCGCATTGCGGACCTGAAGATTACGCTGTGGGTCTGTTCAATAAATGAACGATAAAAGACATAAGCAGTATTTTTACCCAAAACTACGAGTATAATTTATATAATTTAATTATAATATAAATATATAAACGTACAGTTGGTAAAGTCGCGTATGAAATTGAATGTAGATGAATTTGTATTGAAAACGTCATATAAATGAATTAGTGTGTAGAAGTTTTGTTTGACGTATTTTAATTATGAATTAGTCTATTCTTGGAACAACTGTTTGAGAAATGAGAATGATAAATAATTTCAAATTGCGTTCAGGGACCACTTCCCTAGGTTGTTTTTGCTCTCTTCAAAGAAAAAGAAAGTTTTGTTCGCAAACATTAGTGGACCATTTATAGCATGTTTGTATAAACTTGGAAAGTGTATCCCAGCGAAAGTTATATTATATTTGCGCAGTAGAGTCGATGGTTTAATCATTGTATTTGTGATCAGTAATTGTAAATTCAAATTCAAATAGGTTCGTATTCAAATTGTAGGATATGTATCAATATATATCTACTGAATGTGGAGTAAATTGTACTAACATCCATCGCAAACACTATTAAAAATTTAAAATGAGAACTCGCTTATTAGTTTGATGACTTCAGTTTCGGAAACTGTCTAGAATTCATACAAATAGGAGTACAATAATTAATAACATAGTGTTTAATGCAACTTGAACAACTAATACTTGTATTTTTTGTACATCCGTCCTATGATCTTTTGTACAAGCTTACATATTCAAAAGTGTTACATTGATTTAATATAAATTATCATCTTGGGTTTTTACAAACTTCTTCACACGTGTGTTCCCTTACCCACCGGTAATGCATCACTCAATTTAAGTAGCGAAATTTGTTTGCATCCAATGTTCAAATTAAAAAAGTTTCGCCAATGCATGTTGAACCTTTGATGTTTATACAGTTTTTTTTTCAATTCAGTAATTATTACATGTATAATACCGAGTTAAATTAAATATCGTCTGGAAACTCGTATAATGGCATATAGAGGGCCTCTGGACATGGAGGGCATATCGTTTAAATAGAGTAGGAAGAGAATACGGCCTAAAATCTAACCCTGCGGGATCTCGTGCGCATTTGGCTATGCACCAGGAGGATGAATAACTAATATCCCTTCATTCCAACACGGAATTTCAACTCTGTGAGATCGAGCATTACCGATCTGAAGGTACGAACGTAACCAACCTAGAATGGGTGAGTTGAGAATGAGTGTCTGCAAGAGCTTTCATGCACATAATACAAAGCATGCGGCGCATCGTAATATTTATTTTAATTCTTTTTTTAATTTTGTGGATATTACATTCTTCTCAAATGCAGCAGTTCGCATCTAAAGGACGTAATCGTAACTAGCACTATTCGGACTGGGACAGGGGAAAAACTGTCTTACTGAATGATGTTTTCCGCACTATAATCAAACCCTATTTATCCCTCTAAGAATTGTCAAATGGCTCCACGAAATGCAAAATATTATTTTAATCACACAGATTCCAGTGTATCTAATTCTGTCTGAGAACGCAATAAGGTGTTCAACGTTTCTTTATTCAATTCGCCAGAGTGTAGAGCTCTAGAGCACAAAATTGAATTGGGAAAAACAACCTTTAAATTTGATAAAAAAAAGAATAATTAATTTTTTGTTCATTTATCAATATAGCAGAAAATTTGAGCAACACATGTTTTAAATATATATATATATATATATATATATATATATATAAAATATTTTATTATATTTTTTTCGGGGCGCGGTGCCCCCAGTGACTGCTTATTTTGCTTGTGGGTAAATCCGGTCCTGGCGGCTCGTATTTTTCTTAAACAGCTCTTTTGATTAAAGAATGTTATGCAGGACAGATATATGAGGTAAATCACAGGGTGAATAGGAGATAATAGTAGCAAATGTTTCGCGTTGTTGTTACTTTTCACTAAAATTAAAACAGGGAAAATATTTCTAAGTTGCGGCGAAAGTGAAGGGAAAACTTTTAAAATTCACCACAGAAAGCAAACCTTCTCAACTTCCATTAGAACAAAAGTCTTGTCTTACTTTTGCAACTCTGTTCTACTCGTATGTTTCTCGTTTCTCAAATCAGAGTTAAATTAAACCTAAAATTTTCTTTGACACTTAAAATTGAATATAATAATAATTGAAAATAATATATTTGTTAGGACAGTGCGATTCACATTAAAATCTCGCGAGTTTCTCCTTGCCTTTCTGCCAGTGCCGAAACTAGACAATTTTTAACCTGAGCAAGCTGAAACGTATATATTAAATAAGTATGTGCTGTGTAGTGCGGTGAAGTGCTGTGAGTGCTTGGTCAGTGTGTAATTCAGAAGGTAATTCCAAAGCAAAAAAAAAAGAATGTAGTGTAAGGTAAGTGAAGTACAAGGTGAAGTGAAGTCGTGTGTAAGCGTGATCAATGCTCTTTTCAATGCTGTTTTTTTCGTCTGTTCTATTGTTACGGTATTATATTATTTTATATTATTTATTAATGTAAGATGTTGTAATTTTTTGCAATTATTGCCATTAACTGCCACCGGGTCATACCCAATTGCAGTTCTAATAAATGTATGTATGTACCCTCCACCTCTAACGAAAAAAATTAAAAATGTAAACGTTCCATCAAGAAACTATGTTCTTTCATTTCAACAAATAACAAAAGTTAATATGTTTAAACTCGACAAAGTTTTCTGAAATATATTTTAAATAATACTTTTAAGTAAAAGTATTTAGTGATCAAATAATACAATTTCCACAGTGAGTTTAAAATGCTAAAAAATGTTGTGTTCATTAAACTCACTTATTGTGAAATACATGAAATAATAAATGTGAATTTCAGTAGATCCTATTTTATTGCTAGCGTCATTTGATTAAATAAATTTTTCCATTTCACAGATGTATACTACGCAATGTAAATATAACTCTTATCTGAAATACATGTGTATGAATAAGTCCTACCTTGTAAGTAATAATGACTATAATTAACAATTTAAGGTAAAAAATTAATTGAAAATTTTACGAAATATCAGACTACTGTACCGCGACTTACAAAATTTTCTCGAGTTCTTTTTCAATTTTTTACCATTTTTTTCCCATCGGGGCCCCTTGACTTGCGGGGCCCCGGGCAATGCCTAGTGCCGGCACTGCTTTCTGCTTTTCCTGTTCAGCGCCTTTTCTACCTCAACGAAGACCGAGACAGAGATGGACACACAGCTTCATCCTTGGTCCAGAACCTATAATTTGAGAGGATTTACGGATGCTTTTTCAAGGACACGAGGGGCCTCTTGTAGGGGGTTTCGTCTGATTTGAAAGTTAGCAATGAGGAGATCGCGGAGAACAATACTGCGCAAAGCATCTTATGCGCTTCCCGTTCTTGTGTTTTTTCCTCTTCTCCTCAGCTTGTGAAGGTATTTAATACGATGAGGTGATCCCTCAAGAACGCATAACCGGTTGAGGAATCTCATGAGGCCGACGAATGATATTCGTTGGTTGTGCGAAACATGTAAGAATTTCTTTCTGCAACACTAGTAGATAAACCATTATTATTATTGTTGTTGTTATTGTTCATTTATTTGGCTGGATAGGTTGACATGGAATATAAATTAAAATACTCACGTTTTTTTATTTATTTCTATTTTCCATTTATTGTCTGTTGTTCTCTTGTTACGTCAATCCATATTTCACACTTTTACATTTTCTCCTGAAAACGTAAATTTTCTGAATTCTTATCTTAATTGTTTTCTATTTTTTCCTTAATTATTTCCACTTGATATATTGATGCAACGATCAAGGTTATTTTATACATTTTTTTCTAAAATTGTTTTTCTCTACATTATTGTGTGACCATAGATGGCTGCGAATATTTCTTATACATTTTAATTGATATTCTTATAGCTTCTTTCCTTATATACTATCTCTTCGAATTGTTTTAAGAGGGTAATCATTCAAAACTTCAAAAACTTTCGGAACTCATTATCATTTTTATTGTTATTATTATCATAATTAATGTGTTACTCTTATTATTATAATAAAGACAAATACACAGGTCATAGACACCCAAGTATATTTATCAAAGCTCTACTTGTTAGGAACCCATAACTACTGTACCCTCATACATTTCTGGAACATTTATTGTTATTAATTATTATTATTATTTATTATCGACCATTTCTATATCACGTGATTCGTCACTCCCCATGCTGCTGAAGTTCAGATGGATATAACGGGCGCTTCTACCAAATCGCTCGTAACGGAACTCTTGAAGAGAGAGAAGAGCCGGCTCCTAAAGAGCATTGCATTCCATCAGCTGTTTTGAGGCGAGAGGTGAATTAAGGGGTTTGAAAAGATGATTGTAAAATATGAAAGAAAAAGCCAAACCACAATGTTCAGTCTCGATACCACGAGCTTTCGAAAGTTCTACGACACTACGACAAGCACGCATCAACGATCTCGCCGACGTAAATATTGATGATGGTTATTATTATTATTATTATTATTATTATTATTATTATTATGTACATCGAACATTTCCAATCTATTTATTACTTGAAATAATCAGTAATACAATATAAAAAGAACGGTAATTTGCAGGAGCAATTTCGGCACATGCGTAACGCTAGCAAAGAAGCTTTGGGTGAGATTTGCAGCAAAAACCGCGGAGCTCTGCGACCCATCAAAAAAGACATCAGGGGGTTGGAATGAAAATCTTTCGGATCCATGCGCGATGCGACCGAAGCCATATCCTTTCTACGAGCCTGAGCCATATCCTTTCTACACTGTTTTCTCCATGACGAACATTATCAGTCAATGACTAGCGTGGATATCTTGTATCCATTTCAGCGTTTGGATGATAATGAAACTGATCATAAGAAAAAAATCACTTTTTTTCAAAATAGACCATTACAGACCTGATCGTGACGACGAATGAAGTGGCGCTCTCTACCCTTACTGGTGCTAAAAGACGATCTGTCACAAAAGGTGTTGCAAAGGCACTAGGGCTCGTAGAACACCAGTCCACGCGCCTAGTGGAAACGATTGACGTGCTGATCGCGCATTCTAAAGCCACTATTGTTTCGTGAACACATTATCGTAAATTACGAATTCCCGTGCATTTCGTATTTCCCACTTTGCGCCAAATTTTGATCTCACGAAGTTGGCAAGCATTTCTCAAAGTGCCGTATGGGGCACTCGCGCACCTATTCTTTTTCCCCTCAGTCCTGTTTGATTGACAGATGCTTCCGGGCACATCATCTGCTATCAACTGCCTCTAGCCCCTTTGGTGAAGTGAATGTTTTATCCTCGGAGGAGGCAGTGTTCCCCTCCTGGTGGATGGTGAGATCCGCTACACGCCGCTTTCGAGGTACCTCCCTTTACGTGACGCGTCCAGCGGGGTACCGCCCAGTCGGGACAAACTTTCCAGTTTCCTTCCTGGATTCTCGGCATAAGTTATAGTGTAGTGCATGTCAGTGTACATTTGTGTAAGGGGTGAGGATAGGAAGAGTACGCGCGATCCCTGACACATTTGTTAGGGTTCTGCCCAGGAATTCGCGTGGTATTGATAGGATAGTGAACGGAAAACTACCGATCGAAACAGCCGACCGTTAGAAGTTTCCTATAAATAGCGGTTGAAACCAACCTAACCATATCCGGTGTGGAAAATCATCCACCGTCTGGATTCGAACCCTAGGACTTCCCTGAGGCACAGCTGATGCTGAATCAGAGCGGATTTAGTCGGTTAGTCTCTTTGTTAAGCTGATAGGTCCTGAACGACACGTGATGTGACCTCTATGACTCTCCGGATCGGTGGAGAAAGCAACCTCTGGCTGCGCACACGGACCTCGTTGCAAGAGCGCCATCTTCCGGAGTAACGTATCCGCTGCCAGCCATTGCCAATTCTGAACAGGGTCCAAGGACGATTACAATTAACGATATTCTGAATTTCAACCACTACAACAATCTTTGCATCACTTACCTTGCAAAATGTTTTAGTTTACCTCATTTATGCTACGTCGAAGGGTTATTGAACGATGTTCATCTTTATAAGTGAGTATTCCACCAAAGAAATCTTATTAAATACCCTTTCTGTGTCAACGAATCGGAGACGAAAAATATTCCGTCTGATTGTTCATCACAATTAAACTGATATGGTTTTCTCACTTAACAAGTACCAGCATGTTCTTTACATTGATTTATTTCTATTATATCATTCTAGTGTTTATGATATCAGTCAAATATTCTAACATCACACTAACATACTTTTAAGTCTTCCTTACTATTTCCATTCCTTCCTTCCTTCACCCTCAGCACTCACACGCAGATACAGATACTCAGAGAACTCACATGTAAATGAATTTCTAGGCATTATCTATTCTTTGTCCAAGAGTTTGACAATCAGCAGTTTAAGGAAAACTGACAGTTTTCGCAGTACTTCGCTGATTTGGGGAAGAATACAATACGGTTGCAAAGAGGAAGAATTGTGAGTCAAAGAAGTGAATAGCAAGAAGTAACTCAGAAAGAAGGACATTTTTTTCTCACAGGATGAAAAATCACACCACGCAAAAGGTAAGTAATACGATAAGTAATTGTATATTTAACAATATAGTTCAGAGATGTAAATATATTTAACGAAATCTGATTAGCATCTGCCTTCAACTGTTACTGTACGTGAGCACTGTTGCTTTTCAAGTATAGAAAATTATTTTATTGACGTTAAAGAGAATAAGCATTATTTTTTGTCTTTTGCGAGAAAATGAAAAGAAAGAAAAATTATGTGATTGACGCGAAGTCAAGAGGAAAACTATTAGATCTCTTCTGCAGCTTCAGGAAAAGAAGATATACTTCTTCACTCTCGCACACAAAACGTTTCGGCAGATGCTATGAGTAACTAAGATTCATGGAAATATTACAGCTCCTCTTCATCAAGCGGAATTTGTCTTTTGCTCACTGATAAACTTAGTTATGAAGTTTTTAGAAAATTGTCAATTGAACTTACTTCCATGTCAAATGAATGCACGTTTTTATGAAATATGTACACCATAACTATGACTCACACCAAATATTTTTCATATGTAATTTACGTACAATTTTGAAATTTATCAGAAATTTTAAAAATTGTGTTATTAATCGTTTTCGGCACTCGCGCTTGGAAACTTGTGCTTATCTTGTCTGTTTATTGATTAGGAAGGAACAGAACGCATACGACTTCTTCTTTGCCGTTAGTACCTCAAAGAAGTCACGGCCATATATCACATCTGATTATTGCAAAGTGAATGCAATGGCGGCCGCCTCACACTTTACGCGTATAATGATCTCTTCAATATATATTTATTTATTTATGTCAAAAACAGTTAAAAATCTGTTTGATGTGGTATGGGGAGATGTTAATTTGAAGTTACATTTTTGTCCAGAAGCAAAACAAGGCGCCATCTCAGCATATGCTCGAGGATCAGGGAAACTAGCCGAAAACCTGATCGAGATGGGATTGTAGTTGTACTTGTTAGTTTCCATTAATTCGTTCTAAATATTGATGTACGCAGCTCGTACGAAAGTGTCTTTGGTGAACTGAACTCACATCAAAATACCGGACTTTGCTCCCATTGTCGCCTCGTCCGTCAGTATTTCATTTCGATGCCAACTAGGTACACATTTTATATTCTAATTTTGTAAATAACTATGAAAGTAGTAACCCTTATTCATTTTTTTTCAGTTTTAGATTTTCATTTCTGGGGGAGGGGAATGATAAGGCATTTTTTCACTATTCTATGGGAAATTAATCCTAGTAAGATGAATTTTGAACAAATTCATTTTAAAATTAAATTATCTGTTTAATCCGGTACTAAAATTGGTGTACATTTAAAAAAACGGGATATTATTATAAAAATATATCACAAAGTTTAAAGTTAAAATAGCTTATTGTATAGAAATATTGGCTGCGAGGGAGAGGGAGAGAGAAAGAGAGTAGGTAAGAATATAAAATTATATGAAGATTCGAAATTCTCTCTGGTGGAATTAAAATGATGCAAACTTTACTGTTTAGGCCTGAAACTATTGCAAGTTCCGAACATTCCTTTACTGCCGAGAAGATTTTTAAATAATATTAGGAGGAAATTTTGAACACCACTTTACTAACCTTTCCTTGTTTTCCCCATTTCCTAATTCCGTTTAATTACTATCCAAGAGCATGGAAAGTACGTCAACGTTTTCTTTTCGCAACCGATATGTCACTGAAAGACTAGCCACTTAATTTCAACAGTATCCGTAATATACTTAGTTCAATACAATAGACGTATTCTAAACGTATTTCTTCACCTAAAAAATAAGCGATGATTTTTAAAATGTAAACTTTCCATGTACACAAAATCACTTTTCTTGAACACCTTGTGTAATAGAATTGGATCACGTATTTCTGAAGTAAGCTAAACAGATGTGAGCGATGCTCACGCACGAAAACAAATGAAACTGGAATAAATAATCAAAGGAGTGAGTCATTGAAGTACTGTAGATTAAAATGCATTGCGTTCGGCCAAAAATTAACTGCCTGTCTTTAGAATTAAGCTATTCTCCCGCAAAATGGCATTTTTTCGACGTGTCACTTTCCTTGCGTAGCGCCGACGTCTAAGAGAATCGTCCCATGTATTACTACCTAAATCCGATTACCCGTGCAATACCAATACGCATCCTTCCCCATAGCGAAACCCTCCTGACGTCCCAATGTTCCGCGTCAGCAGTCTTCACCGAACCCGGTCTTCCTCCCCGGGCAATTGGCCTCCAGGTCGACCTCACCTCGCCTCTGGCGCGGTGCCCGCCGCCGCCGCCGCCGCCAGCGGCCGGTTCTCCGTGGAACGCGCGCGCGGCGGCCGGCCAGTCGCCTGGCAGCTCCCCGGCCGATCGGTCGCCGCCCCGCCCCGCCTGCACCACCCCGCCACTCCACGCTGCGCCTGGCTGCCAGCAAACCTCCGGACATGCTTTTTGCGGTGAGTGGAGCTCCACGCAGCGGGAAGACCAGCTCAGTGTTTTCAGGCACGCAGTAGTCATGCAACATCGATCTTTTAAAAACATTGATGTTTTAGAGTTGGTTTAAACCTCTAACATTAAAGTCGTGCACAACAATTTAATTTCACACTACATATTAATTTGTAATTAAAATTTAACTGGTAATGGTGTTGAAAACGCCTCTTTATGTGAAAAATACGAAGAAAGACGAAGGAAATACCATAGTCATCTGCATCATCTCGGGTGAGGAATAGTGGTCTTTTCGATGAAGGAAGAACAAACCGCGTGTTTTTGGTTCGAACACGCAGACAGTGGTACCAACAGCTATTGGTTCATATTTCAACTTTTTCAAAATTATGATTTTAGGCATTTTTAATACAAGAATAAAATTTCGAAAACGTAAAAAAACATCGAGTCCAAACATTGGTGTTCCAAGAAAATAGGCTTCAATTTTCCGATATTTTTATAGAGACATCAATGATTTGAAAACACTGACATCGATGTCATATCCCTATTACGCAGTATCGTTTGTAGATTCACGTCGAGAAGAGCAGTTTTCGATGGGACATGTTAAAAATCAAGGGTTCTACAGAATGGCACATTTTTTCTCGCACTAGTTTTCTGATGTCTCTAGTCTACACTGTTTTTTCGGTCTTGCCCTACCCTCTTCCCAGCTGCGCCATCGGCGCCTAAAATATACTTTTCGACATTTTCTCAATTTTTCGATCCCCTATTAGTAGAATTGAAATATGAATTTAAGAATATTATAGAAGAGTAAAACCTGCAAATTTTCATCCAAAGATTTCAAGCCGTTCTTGGGGAAATGCCGTTTGATCAATTCTGATAATACGCAATTTTCTTGCAAAGAAAATATTTAATTTCTTCTTTCTGTCTTGTGAAGAAAGTATTTGATTTGAAGAAAAATCTCAATTCATCGTCCTCTTCTTGTCTTTATGCGCCTTTTTCGTATTTTTTCTTTCTTTTGTCTCCTTTTTATTTATCTTTTTCTTCTTTTCTTTGAAAGGATTAGGATGTTCACCAATTTCAGCTGTTGCATGTTCTTCCTACACTTCTTATTTCTCTTTGTTGGTAATTTGAGCGACACTTATTCTTTTCTGTTATTTGTCATGTGCTAATGTTCTCCCTTAATGATGATTTGAACTTGCTGATCTGTTTTATGCCATTCAGAAATCATTTCGACTTCGGATTTTTATGTTACTGAAATTATTGATACAAATACAGATTTCTTTATATTCTGTAAAATAAAAAGACTTCACCAGAAAACTATTTTCAAAATTTCGACCAGGTTCTAACTGCTTGAAAATTTTCCTTGTAACATTTGAAACTTTGATATTACTTGTGTTTTGACGTCTTGAGTGTGTCGTTTTAACTCCATAAAATCTACAATCTCGTTTTTAAGGATTATTTAACATAATCACCGTGCTTGAAAAGGCTAGGCGCCATTTGTGGTATATTGACTTCCAGTACCTCATATTCTCGTTACATGTCTTGTGGGCTTACATGTCTGTTTAGGATGAATTAAACGTTTTTTTTCTTATGTGAACCTGTCTTTAGAAAATTAATTCCACTTTCTATGCTATGTAATGAAGTATTTACAATTCTGTATGGCGAGTGAAAGACATTTGTGTTTTGCTGAAGTTCTGTAATGATAGTATGAAATTAGAAATTGCAGGAAGGAAAATTCTAATTATAACAATAATCTTTGAAATTTCTATCTGGGGCTTATTGGAAGTTATAAAATGAAATATTTGTCCGTTATTATTTCTTCATGAGCCTTGAATTTAGAAAATAAAGAGTCATAAATGATTGAGTAGTTATTACTTTGAGAAAACGAGTATTTACGTACAAATCTAAATTTTTTTATAGTGCTATTTTTTGTTTATATAACAATCTACTCCTCTAATCCTCTCTTTAAAATACGAAATAAATTATTTTCTCTCTAAAGTGTTTGCTGTCTGCTTCTGGTCTCTCGAACTGGCGACCCCCGAGGGTTTTCTGTCTCCGTCGGAAACAAACTTAAATCGGAGGCATCATTCGTACTTGACTCACGCGCATTCAAATCCGCAGGCGAGCGTCCAAGAGCAACTACCTGAAGAGAGCTGTCGCCGCGTCTCCTTGTTCAGGAGCATCGAAGACATGATTCTTGTGCGCGGTACTCCTGGGCGCCTTTGCACAACAATGCACTAAGAAAGATCCAATGAAAGGGAAAGGAAAATCATAATTATTTTAAGACCGATTTGTCTGCTTTAGGACTCATCTTCAGGGCAGATTTGCTCCCCTTTTGCTAGAACAATTCGGTAAATTAATTTTAGCCAAACACATCTAAAAATATTCGCAACGTGAGCACAATGTACTCCCAAATAAAAAGATAGCTGAAGTAATCTGATTTTCATGCACTTAAATCGAGGAACCAAACCAATAACATGGGGAGAAAACTATTTTTGTAAACACATTTTTAGTATTGCATCCAAAAAATACCTAGTTAGAGAAGTATGTACAAATTCCTAATATGTAACGTTTTTAATTGACAGCAATAGGAGGCATAATGTTTTGAAGAGTTGCAGGAATCTGCGACTCTTATGTCATTTTTCAGCTTGAATGGTAATGCAAATTTCATACGTAAAGTGCAGTTACATTGGTCTTTCCGCGTGACATCAAGCATATGAGGTCAGTTATCAATTCCAATTAAAATAACATTTTGTTTCTTTTTACTACGTATCGCCATAGGCCAATTTGTTTACATCTGACGTGCTCCGCCTGAGCTTTCAATATTTCAATGTTTAAATTTAACTGTCTCGCTTTCACTTCAATGATTCTATTAAACAAAATTGTGTTATAAGGTACCATAGAGTAAAATAAGAGGGTTCCTATGTTTATACGAGCCAAGCCAAGTCGTAGGAATGAACTAATGCAGTTCCCAAAGACGGCTTCAGTATTCTGAGTTTCTTCTATGTTTTCGAAACAGGGGTGGGCATGTGTGGTTTATTATCACCCTCACACAGGCAATCTCAGCATAGTAAAATATTAAATCCAAGGAAAAATTAAATAGAACATCATCAAATTGTTAATCACTTCTTAACTATTCTCTTCTTTGTGACTTTGGCATGGGACCTCTTTATGGTTCAAATCTCAATCAGATCTACACTGCTACCACAGCCATCATTAAGACATACTCTGTCACTGCTGGAGGCCTCATCCAGAGTTTGTTACTGCTTCAGACTTATGCCGTTAATTGGAATCACCTTCAGAACAACATTACTGCTGAAGACAATATTACGATCCGACACAGCTCAAGCCTTTATTTAGTCGTAGGATTGCGTTTGGGACCGCAATCAAACTTGCATTTCTACGCCATACCTTATTCTAACATAGTTCAGACCTATAATTTCGTGTCGTACGTTAGTTTGAAAACTCATTCCGATTGTCTCCACTTCGGCATCTGTGGCCGCGTCGTGTGGCTGAGCGCGTGCGTTGGCCGCAGGTGACAGCGATGGGCGGCGCGCGGAGTGCTGGCTGGGCG